ACTTCGCGGTCGTGACTAATTCTAGATAAAAGCGTTGAGAAGTGCCGAGAGGATCACCGAGAAGATTTCCCTCCGCGTAGTGGAAGGACGGCACGCGAAAAATCGCGCGAACGGACGCGAGAGACCGACGCGAATGGTCGCGATGTGTGTCACGAATCGCAGATGTATCGGGGGGAGGTCAACAAACTATACGTTACGCGCGGCTTACGTTTTCCGTCGCGGCCAACTAGAGGACGAGGAGGATCCAGGCGGCGGCGACAGCTGTGTAACGCATGATCCGGATTTTAACGATACGGTATATTTATACGGTCCGATACTAAATTGAAGAACTACGAATTTCAAAACAACTCGAGATAACAGGCTTTCTCTTTCCCTTGAATTCGATCCATCGCATGCGATTCGCGTGAGAGGAACGTCGCGAGATCGTCATCGATCGCTTCTCTCGACGACGTCTAACAGCGGCGACGAGGAGCGATCCATACGAGGTCAATGAGCATCCGCGATCTGTGTCACGACGTTGTTCTCACGTGGGAGATCACGTAGGCATTCGGTGGGCGTGAATTACAGGTGTCATTCGAGAGTGGGATGCGAGAAGACAACGACGGCCGTCGCTCAGGTGGCTAAGAGAGAGTGAGAGAGAGAGAGGAGAGGAGGGGATCATCGGTGGATTACCGTGTACTGGTCGGTGTACTCTTTTTCAGGGTGTAAAGCGGTTATCGCCTGCACCGAGATTTTTGCACGATCGACAACGACGATGACAGTGCGACCGAATGTAAACACGCGTGCACGCACGATACACGTAAACACGGCTCGAGCGATTCGACGATGGGTGCCTCCTCGAGATAGGCGATCCTCACCGGAGGAGAGGAATCGAGCGTCAGGTTATACGCGCACTGGCCGTCGCCGATTAATGACGAACAATGCAGCCGATGCAGCGCGACGCAGGAATGCGGCTTGGAAATGTCACGGGCGGGGAGAGGGGGACGCTTTAATGGGAAGAAGGGGGGAGGGGACTGGAAATGTTTACTACTCTTCTCGCCTTACGAGCGATAGCTCGGCGGGACTTACCTATCCTGCGCGTTCTCAATGAAAAGGAACTCCGACGCGGAGAGCTACCGATAACTTTTTATTTCTTTCTTTCCGTTTTTCCTTTTGAGAGACGCCGGCTGCGATGATCGGATCTTTAGGACGCGCGCGACCCGACGTATACGTCGTATTTCAAGACGACCCGCGAAAGGAGCGTTTTTCTTTTCGAAAAAGAAAAAAACAATCGCGATGTTCGAGCGGTACTTGGAAGCATCGAGATTCATCCTCGTCACGAGTTTAATCTCGAGTGGCCGAAGTTCTCTGAAGATCAGCGAGCATATTAAATTGTATGCCGTAGATGACCGTTATCCAGATACTTAAGTAGTAACATGAACGATCATAAAATGGTACGCTAAGGAAATAAATAGGGAAGAGGTTTGAATATAGAATCGGGTTGTAATATGGAATTCGCATTTGTGTTAAAACTGCTGCTTGAAACTACCGGTAGTTATACTCATTAAGAGCATTAGGTTCCGTTTAAATCACTCGAGAAAGCTGGCGTCAAAATTACGCAGCGTTTAGCTGTCCAAACGAATGTTTTGTTTCACGAAAATGTGACGTAGCAAAGATTTAACAGTTTTTTTTTTTCATACGTGTATTGTTAAGTGTAGAATATTAGTTCTTACGTGTCGAATGGCATAAGAATAAAGTATGAAATGTAATAATACGTTATATGGAAATACATGTACTATGTTCACATTCATTAGATTGTGTAAAAAATTGCTGTTGGTCGGAATATAGAACATCTTGTATTGCAGCCACAGTGTAGCAAGTTTGTCGAGAAAAAAATTGTTTTTTTTTTTATTTTTACAGAGAATATCTTGTTATATTGTACATAGTCTCATATTTAAATGATAAGTTACTTGAGCCATTTTTTTGTCATTTCACAAAAATGATGTGTTTTTTATTGTCCTTGTATAAATACATTGAATGAAGTTCAATAAATAATAAAAAGCTCATAACATTATAAAAAAAGGTTTTTCCTTTAAGTTATCGGCTTCCATATTAACACATAATTTGTGTGTTCAGACACACGGTTTGACATGTTTTGACAAAAATACGTCGTATGAAATAAAATATTCTTTTGAAACCTGCATGTTTGATTCTAACAATCAATAGTAAATGTTTCTCAGATATATGTGCTAATATTACTGATGATTATTCATTCAATATTCAAATTTTAAACCGTAGTTTTTCTTTAAAATTCGAAACTATTTCATGTTTAGATTTCCCGAAAATTTCGAAAAGTCGAAATTCTAGCTTTATGTTAAACTTTTCATTCTACGACACAGTAAGAGTTAAGGCACAACAAAATAGTTTCAACTTCAATTCTAATATAATTACACTCCTACTTTGACCTTGATGGTGTCTCAAATTTCCGTTCTCGCCATTTTAGCGTTAATATAAGTTGTTGAGGGTAACATTAAAATTCAGTCTGTAGAATTAAAGGTCCAAGAGAGAAATTAAAAAGTGTCAGTATCATCAAAGTAGGTTTTGTTAATCAATAGGTTGCCTAAGTAAGCGCGAACTTAAAAATATAAACATTTCGACTTTTCCTTTATATTAGTGCGCGAAACATAAATAAATTGAATTGTGAGACATGATCGTGATTTTAACGTGACCAATCGAAAGGCGTGGACGACAATCGCGAAGATTGCGCGCATCACAATCGCGCGATAGATGGACTACAAGCGGGCTGATCAAAGGTCGGCGATCGCTGATTCATCGGATCGCGATAATGACAGCCCGATAAGAATTAGCGCAACGACACAACACTACAAAATGGTTACAGGAGCGAGCGGTGCCGCGCGATGCGTAAACGCCGTAAACGCGCGCCGGCTCGGCGTCGATTCGCGCCGTTCTCGCGAGCGTGGTCGCCGCGACTCTCCGCGATCGTCGCGCGAGATCACTCGGTATTTTCCATAAGAAAACGAGAAAGAAAACGGTAGAATCGCGCTACGTAACGGTTTCGGCGGTCGTGAGTGTGCGTTCGGTGTGCATTTAGAAGAGATACGCCGGCGCGTTGGAAGACGGGAGAAATCGCGACGCGATCCAGATACGATGAATTATTCGACAATTAAGACATCGCGTATCCTCCTCCAATTACGGGGTTCCCTCCAATTCTAATGGCGCTTCGATCCTTAATTATTACTTCATTCGTTAATCCCGCCGCCAACGTCATCGCCACGTCGCGGCGACCCTGAAGCCCGTTCCGGTGTCACCGGAAATGCAGAGTCGCGTACGCGACTATTCTCGTGCGATTTTACACCGCGTTGAATCGCACGCGAATCCGCCACGGAGAAGTGCGTGGGTGTAGTAATCACCTCGACAAGCTTTCAGACAAAACGCGTCGGTTTATTCCCCGAAGTAGCCCATACAGCACAATGCCCAAAGTCGGGGCATGAGGCATCTTTAAGAGGCTTCTAAGACGTCTCATACGTCGTAGGACTTTTGGACATTGTGCTGTCTGGGATGTGTTGTGTAACTTCGCGCAAAGAATATGAAAGAAATGTGCCATTCTTTACCCAGTAAGCAAGAAATCATTAACACAACGTTATTCAAATGATTCATATTTTGCAACGTGTTACGTTGCAAAATATGTAGTTCTTAATGTTATATATAACGTCATTAACAATACAACGTCATTAACAATATTTGACCAAAACATTAAGAATAATATTTCTACACTATTATTTCAATATTTATATTATCAAGCAATGATTTAAGAACATTTGTAAAATGTTACGTCGAAATGTTTATAAAATTCACATAAAATCAATGTTCCGACAGATCGATTTAATGTTCCTTGTTTACTGGGTACTTCATAAAGTACATAAAATATATTCAATAGCAATTTCTCTTAATTACAGGAAAACTTAAAGCACGAGGTATTCTGCTAACTGGTATTTGTTCGAGACTAGAAACGACTGTCACACTTTGTATATAATTTTTTTTTTATCGGCTTGTCGCGCATACAATCGTGCCCGAGATATCAAGCCCAAAGAAAGCCAAGGAGAGGGAATTTCCCCCCGCGTCCGTCATTTTGACATCCAAAACAACGTTAAGGACTCGGCGAGAAAGAGATATCTCGCGAGATTAGGCGACGAGTCTCGCAGATATCGCGATTTTTTTTTTTTCAAGTACACGCGACGTGCAATTTCACGGAGCAGACGTGCTATTTACGCCGCGCAAACAGCAGCAGTCGTCGCACAGGCTCGAGGAGATCACCTTAATCTCGCACTTAATCGCGACTCACGGCCGTGTAATCCTTAAGATCCTCATTACATCTCGCCCCCGTTACGATAATTGCGCACCGACAGCTTCGCGTTGGCGATTCATTCGGAGACCCCGAGGAGGCGCCGCCGCGGTCGCTGAACGAAGCCTCCCTCTCCCCTCAGTCGATTCTTCTCGTTCTATTTTACGTTTGTTTATGCGACTCCGCGCGTGGACACGCTCGCTGTTGCGCGAGTCCTCCGCCCGGAGAGTTTCCGGATCGCGTTGTGGAAACGACCATCCAGCGAGCGAGCGGGTGAACGCGTATGCAGCGGCGGTACGCGCCTTTCGTCAGCGCGATTTTTATCTACCTTACGTGCCGCGCCGTAAGGCCTCTCTCGTCGTCGCCCAGGCACACAGAGCGCGGCCATGCACGTACGTTCGTTCCTTCCTATACGGCAACAGGTGCACGCACGAGAAAGAGAGAGAGAGACGCGCGGATTAGCTTCGGCGTTGCAACGAACGTTCGTGTGCATCAACGACGACAATGATCATGATGACGACGACGATGAGACGACTTCTTCGGTCACGACTCGCTCGGTATCTCGCGGCTTGACGTTTCGACGCGAAATCGCGACCCGTGTCGGTCGAACCGACGTACGTATGTACGCGTATGTGAGGGATTACACACAGTTGCTTACCTATTTACAAATTGTCGACCACTCGCGCTACCCACGCACCAAGAAACGGTGACAGACACAGGGGGACGGGGAGGCGCTCGCTCGGTCGAGGCGACAGAGAGGTGCCCACAGCTATGTGCCGAACATGCTCGAACGCGAATACTCCGGCGACTACCGTTCTCTCGCTTCCTGAGCACCGTCGTTGCCTGCCAACTTCAGGCGCGTCCCAGGTAACGCGGCAGCTCATTGGTCGGCCGCCGAGTGGCCAACATGGCGGCCGGGCCCGTCGGAATCGGCGATCTTCGATACGGCGCGTCAGGATCGTGTTTAAATGGCCTCGATGGGGCTGCTGGGAATGATCGTTGACGGACTATTCGTGCCTTTTGCAGCAGGATTTTCGTACTCTCTTAGGGCTCACCTCTCAGTCAAGGGTGAGGCGATGACTAGGAATCTGTTCCCGGGTGAGATACGCACGTGAAGTTGCCGCGTTAATCGTGGCAGTAGACTCGGGCGTCGCGACGACGTTGCGCCGTGCGCGTCGGAGAGAACGAAGGTACTCGAATACCGGTATCTTGAACCAATAGTACTAGCTGTTATAAAAGGGAGTATATGAAGAATGCGACTCTCGAGAATAGATGAGAATAGGAATGAGCGATGTCGAAAGAGAAATTCCGCGCCCGAATGATTATCGATTTTAACGCGTAATGAATTTTATTAATTGATTTGGTGATAATAGCAAATGGTAAGTAATCTAGACATTTACGTTTAGACAATCCGTGTTCTCGTAAGTATTTAACGTATGTTCGTTGGTAACAATATTGAGTGGCGTTTATCAGTAGGTCGCGATAATCGAGTAATTTTTTGTTATGTATTTATTATTTGTTGAGAAATTGACGGTTGATTAGTTCCCGTGTCAGTTTTACTTTTTGTCTATCACATATATTAATTTATTCGTTGATAAATAGAGACAAGTTACCAAAATTCGTTATTCGTTCGTGTTACTGAAGAATGAAAGATTCGAGTACTTTGTAGTTGAGTTGTACTGTATTAAAATCGAAATACTTCCAAAATCCACCATATTAGGTCGTATTATTTAATAATAAAAAGTTCATTTGCTCCGTCGTTGAAAGGTAATATTTGTAAATGAAAAAGTCGTTTACTCTTCACTGAATAATACTCGACAATAACATGGTCTTTTCCGATTCCTGTTGAATCATATTACTTGAAAATAGGAGATCCATCTGATAGCTGTTGCGTCGTACTGCGACCTCGGTTTTTCATTGAAAACGATGGCGGCTCATATATAGCGGAAACTCCGGAACTATATCTTGAAAAGAGCTGTTTTGTTAAACTCGCTAACATATATGTGGCGGCATCTAACGGCGCTTGAGAAAACCTGTTGCGATTAGACCCGTTACGATCATTCTTGTTATTTGGACCTGTTACGTCGTTGATTCAAAATTTACCATTACGAGCCGCGCCACTGTATTTGCTGGGCTGCATTTCAAAGCCTAATTCGACTGGTAAAAGAACATTTATCTAACCAATCATGGGTTACATTCCAAAACGTTATTTTCCAAGAACATTTTACTCTCGGTGATTCTTCCGAAATTTGACGAGCGTTTCTGATTGGTTCCTCTTCTGTAACTCAGAAGCCACCGAGTAAAATATTCCTCGAAAAGAACGGAATGTGGCTATGATACAGAAATCCTTGCTCTTTTTGTTCCGATTGGTCAATCAAATGCTATTCTGCCCATCGAGTAGGATTTTGGAACGCAGTCATGGGGACTCGAGATCGTAGTACGACTCAACAACAAGTCGGACAGATTCAATTTTCCCAGTAGCACTATTCAACGGCGGATTGACGATCCTTTCTTTTCGAATCTACATCTCAACTACGGGTAGGATTTTTTTACTTTTGGCTAACCAGGTTAAAGAAATTATTATTTTCAAATAATACGATCCAATGACGAACATTTGTTCTTCATAATAGCATGATCAAACAGCAAGTACATTTTTATTTTCATTTCTTTATGAAAGAGAATCCTCTTAACATGAGATCTGGTCGTTTTCGCTGCACCGCTGAACTAGTACAATAAGTTGAAATGAGAAAACATCTACTTGTCTCGCTTCAACTTATTGCACTATTTCAACGATGCAGCGAAAACGAACAGACTTCTAAGTGAACTTGCATTACTTAAAAAAGGAAGATTCATGTAAGACAGGTTTCAAGGCAATTCAAATAATATATGAATGTATTACTTAAATGATAGAGATGCATCATCTTGCGTCACATATATGTTTTATTTATCGCGAGGATGGAAAGAACATTTAGATTATTATTTCACAAGAAGCTAAGAGTCATTGGCTAGGGAAATTATTCATGAGCAACATATTTTATGTATCATTTTCATAATCCTTTGGGTTTTTGCGGTGTATTTCTCTGTTCTTCTCTTTAGCCCACTCCATGAGCAAATATGTAAACATGAAGACTACAACAAGGTAAATATAAGTTAAACATTTAAATTGATTTCATTTGATTTTGTATCAATGCGATAACAAGCTATACTTACAAGGCGCTACACGAAATACACTGCCCTGGAACCGACGTAAAAGATTTGGTACTCCTTCGGAAATTATTCCTTTGAAGGCTTTTTGTTCATGCGGGCTAAGTCGGAAATAGACGATACCGCTAATTTTGGCAAGATTACCCCAGTACTTCCCCATCTATGGTCGAAGTCTAAAAAATTTATTGAATTTTAGTCGGCGTAATATTTAACAGAACATAACCACTCTCGAGTTCAGTAACGTAATCATAGTAGCTCAAACGTCACACGAAAATGTTGCCGTAGTTCAAAATCTTGAGCTTGAAACAAATTTAAATGAGGTCGAGCGAAATACGCAATCAATTTCAAGCAACAAATAATTACATAATCTTGTACTCACTCGGAACAGCGCCTGCGAAAAGTATCGTGATATTTCTGTGGTCAATTCAGCTTCATTAGCTGTCCTCTGCTGTATCTGACATGCGGACAGATGGCGCACTTAAGCAAGACATGTGAAGCAAGATTCGTTTTCTTCAGCTGCGTCTGCTCGTTATTTGTCGCTCCTTCCTCAATGGAAATATTTTGCCGGAAGTATAAAATCGATGAAAAATGAAATGAAAGTTATTAGAAAATTAATGAATATATTTCCAAATGAATCATAATTTTTCTTATGAAATTTAATGTAATACTGTGAAATATGATGGAAGCTAAATTACACTGTTGAAAAATAATAAATTTTCTAAAATTTTGGATATCATGAGATTTACTGAATTTAACTAAAAACTGACTTTTTACTGAAATATTAATGGAATAATAATGGAATGAGGTGTCAATTGAAAGAGAATTTCGAACGCATTTCAGTAAAATTTCATTATATTTTCAGTAAAATATTTCCATATTTTTTCTCTCCTCTTTTTCCACGATATATACATAACAAGTATAATTCAAATTATCATTCGACAAATTTCGTCTATTTTATATATTTGATTGTGAATCTGAAGAACCTTTTTTATATAAATGATTTCTTCATATAATTGATGTTCCTCATTCTAAAACCAGAAGCTACAATGTGCGGATACTTTTCGCAGCGGAAGACAAAGAAATTGATTGGAATCTCACTTTCTGTCCGTTCTTCCGTATTAGAATTTCAAGATCGCGCGCAGAGAGTCACATGGGAGCTGCGCTGAATGCTGCAAGATGACGGTCGCTCCGACGTCGGTTGGCGTCGCCACTGTCGCGCGCCGTCAGGCGAGCGTATCGAAGCACGGGGCAGGGACAGTCGGTCGGATGTCGCGAGCGAACGGGCTTGCGTATGTGATCGATGTTGTGATACGGTGCGTGCTCGCGTCCGCTGATCGCGCGTCGCGTTCATCCGTCGGGCGAAGTCGTAGCGCACGCAGGGACAGACAGTCCGCCAGCGAGCATGGTTACCGCGAGAATCGGCAGTGACACGTCTACGCGGTCAGCCCGGGACGAACAGTGGTAACGACGTCGTTTTGCCAGTGGTGTCCGCACTTTGCGCGAAGTCCTTGCTCACGTGAAGAGGTACCTGCTAGCCTACCAGCTAGCTAACGTACGTGCGTGCGTGCGTGCCAGCGTCAGTGGCGTGCGTGCGTGCGTGCGTGCGTCTAACCGTGTCATGGTATCGAGGCAAGCCGAGAATCGTGACGGCGGAAGTTATCGTACGTCCCAAGACATGGCCTGCGACAATCGCGCCGAGAGTGACTTCGAGTTCTCGGTGCCACCGGAGGCGCCGGTATTCGAGCCCACAAACGAGGAGTTCCAGGATCCGCTCGCCTACATTGCAAAGATACGGCCGATCGCGGAGAAGTCCGGCATCTGCAAGATCAAACCGCCGCCTGTAAGTAGCTGCGGAGTCGCTCGGACGACGATTCGTCGTGAAAACACTATCTCTCTCTCTCGTCCTTGTTCCGTCGTCATACGAACGTTATTCCCTTTGTCGTCGTTGGTGTTGTCTTTGTCATTGCAGCGCACCTTGTCGTCCTCGTCGTTATCGCCGTCATCGTGACGAAGGACGCCGACCATCGATCCTCTCTTACGTGGACGTTTTTCTCACGCGGAGAGCGCGATGGAAAGGGCTCCGACGAGAGGATCGCTGAGATAGAGAGAGAGAGAGAGACACACACACATACAGAAAGAATCGCTGCTCTTCGTGTTACGAGTACGCGACCTCGTTTTAACAAACGACGATCCGTCTCGTGGAACGAGTCAGGATCACGATCGACGGCGATGACGACGTCGACGAGCAAGGAAAATATAACGGGGATCACGTCCGCGGATCCCTGTCCCGAGCGTTCGTTGCACGCCACACGCGAGTACGTGCGAAACGTGCGTGGCGGCATGCTGTTTTTCTTCCGCAGTGAGTCTCCATATTTTTCCGTTCCGCGAAATAATGATCCTTCTTACGCTTACGCGTGTAAGTCGCACGCGCATTGCGTCGTCTGGGATGCCAGCCAAAACGGTGAAAAGACGGGGAAAGAAAACGCGGTGGGAAAAAGAAAGAGCACAACGCCAGAGATAAAGCAAAACGAGAAAATGAGAAAGAGAGAGAGAAACAACCGTCTCCTGCTTCTCTCTCTCTCTCTCTCTCTCGCTTCCATTCGACGCGTTACGCTGCACGACGATATTAATGGATGCGTCGAGGTGGCTTCTCTCGCGGATGCACCGCTTCGTAGCCGACGACGATAACGATGACGACGACGAGGAGGACGATGGGCAATGGCAAGAATCGCAACGATACTCGTGCACGAGTGCACCCGGGATGTCGTCGCGTGTGAGCAAATGTCGATCTGCGATTAATATAACACTGTTGAGCCGAAGGCCCCAGCCTGTTACGAACCGCCATGTAAAATGGCCACGACCGGGACACAATCGGTGACACATGCGCTCGTGTAGGAGGTCTCACCGCGAGAAAGTATTACGAAACGCTGTTTGGACGCGGCCATGAGGTGGGTGGGGGTCAGAGGCAGAAGGGAAACCGGGCGATCTCGGAGAAAACGCGATCTTCTTCGCGGCCGCTTAGGGATTTTATCGAGCGGTTGCACACGGGAAATTTATCGATGCCAGCGCGATCCCGTTATCGCCGTTCGGCTTCTCAGTCGAAACGCTTCTCTCTCTCTCTCTCTCTCTGTCTCACTCAAGCTGTACGAGGGCTTCCTCGTTCACCTTCCGGACAGGGAAATCCGTTGAATCGATGGTGCGTTCCGCGGGTGTATTCCTCGCGAAAACTCCTCTCTCGCGGCGCGGTTCGCCGCGTGACATAATTTTTTCCTGTGCTGTCGTCACCTTTCACTCCGCGAGCCGTCTCTCTTTCTCTCTTTTTCTTCCTCCCTTTCTCGCATGATCTCGAAGCGCATGAACAATTTGAAATTTGCATTTCGGTATTTTTCCCATCGTTTCGTTCAGGAGGTCTTTGTACGTTCCGGACTCTCGCACGGTGTAGCGGCATTGTCCTTTCTTTTCTTAGCGACGGATCGCTATCCCTCGTCGCTTGTTCGTCGATTTACGTCCACCATTAGAAACGATTTGTGCCACCATCTTGTTTCCGTGTCTGCGAAGCAGGAAAAATTCCCGGGGCCCACGAGAGGATCCTCGTCGTTTGGCTAACAGTGCGCGTGTAGGCGTACCGGATATCCGAGCGAAAGGTGATTCCGTCCATCGGCGCCCGATAGATATCAAACAGTGCGAGGTCGTGAACGTATTTTCCGCCGCACGGCGTGTCGTTCGTCTGGAGGAACGCACGTTTTTCCCGGCATCGAACCGGAAGAACCTGCTCCTCGCCTCGTCCAGGCGCTCGAAAATAATTTTTCCGAAAAGAGTCACCTGTCATCATTATGATTGCGTAATCTCGTGGTTCGATGGCAATACCACCACCCGGTGGCCGCTGCGAGGGGCAGCAGCGATCGTTATTTCGTCATCCGAGCTAAACGCCCGCACGGAAAAAGAGATTAGCTCTTCACAACTTCCATAACTGGAAACTAGCTTTCACAGGCAAAAATCAGTTGTATAACATTTATATTAGTTAATTCAGCCAATTATTTTACCTCTGTATTTAGTTTTTAGCTGCCCCAAAGCTAAGTCTTGTGATTCAATTTCAGTTGTGCAGCTAATTACACTTTTTCCGCGCGAGACGCAATTCTCTAAATCATCACTCAACCTGCACATCTTTTTGCGTTTGAACATTTTTTGGCCACCTCTCACGAGGTCTGCAGTGGCGTCGATGTCGTGTCTCCGAGCGACACCATTTTCGGCGTAGATGTCTCGCCTAGATGATTCCTAACGATCGACTGCGGGAAGATCTCGTCGCATAAGTTTGCGGAATATCGTAAGAAGCAACGACCACAACGATGCGATGATGGATGGTTATCGATGGTGATAACGCGCCCACGATTACGTCTCTCTCCCTCTTTCTCTCTCTCTCTCAGTCTAGATGTCTCATAGCGTCTGTCCGGGTGCCGCAAACTCTCTTGAGTAATTATTGATTTTTACTCACGCCGGGTAATCGATGCTCGATAATTATCCCGGCCGCTGCCACGATCGTTTANGGGGGGGGGGGGGTCTCGAAAGCCGCGCGACCCACCGAGCTCCTCTTCGCGTTGTCGCCTCGTTCGTAGATTTACGAGAGCGCGCCCGTGACGGATAATTTACTCGATAACGATATTCGCCTTTTTTTTTTTATCTAATCGTTGCATGCGACATCGAGGGAAAACTCGCGCGCGGATCCCGGTTGACTACCACGAGAGGTAGAATGTTAATATTGTGAATATGTGCGTCGCCAAATTTCTTTTACGAGAGAGAGAGACGCCGGTGCAGGCGAGCCGTGCTCTGCGAGTCGCAATTAGAATGATCTTCTCTTCTAATTCGTGGCAACCTTCTCCATTTTTCGACGAAGACCGGAACAGACGAGCAAGGTCGCTTGGTGACTCCGAGAAACGCCGCTTTCTTCGCGATGCACTCCTGTAACATTGATGTTGTCGCCTCGTCTTGTCCCCTCACCAATTCTTCTCCACGAGACTCTGCGGGACGTGTACCTGCGTACTGGGTGACGCATTTTTTCCCTACACAAGAAGACGACAACGAAGTGTTTCCTTGCGCGTGTGTGTCTGTGCTCGAGAGGAATCGATGTGCGCTTCGCGTGTCGCGATGAAAACCGCACGCGTACATGGGAACAACACGAAGTGAAATGCCGCAGGAGAGAACCTTCCTTCCTCCGCCTCGACGAGGTGTCGGCGAAGTGTCGCGGCAAAGCGTCCGAAGTGCGAGCGAAGCTCTCGACGTCGAACTATCGAGAGCTTTTCACCTGCTCGCGTCACGATCCTTCTCCGCCAATTTGCCGGAATGATTCGAATAATTAACCGTCGATTTGACGAGAGATGTGTATCCATTGCATATCTGTTGGGTCTCTCTCGACAATTCTCGTGTAACGATGAAATCGAGATAAGGTATTATTCTATAATTCAATAATATGTATTATTATAACCATTTATAGATATTATTTATTTATTTATTTGTTAATTTTATACAGGCCAATACTCTTTGCTATACAAAAGAAAGCAAAATATAATTGGTCGCCGAGAAGACATGATAATGTACATAAATTACGTAACATATAATGATACATAAATTATGTTACAAATAATAAAAGTGCACGAATAAGCCTAAAGAGGTTTTTCGAGAAAACGATTTTCCAGAAAAGGCTAATGGAATTTGAATATTCATTAGCTAAGGTACAATATCTATTAACGCAATTGTATCTTTATTATCTTCGATCGGGGCGAGTGATCAGGAAAATTTGTTCAAGTCGCGATTTCTTGTTATTTATTTATTGTGATGGTTTATTCAGGATTATATGATTATTTATCTGCTCAATGAATAACGACCACTATGGCACGATCGGCGACTCTTCCTGAGCTGCTTTGCAATTTCGCTCGACGAGTATCCACGATGTGGTGGCAGCGACGGTTTGTTGCCGTGTAACGCGCAACGGGACCCGCCGAGATGAGCTCGAACGCTTTCTGCGGAGTTGATATTTTCCGAGAGCACGTCGCCATTGCGGAAGTTGTCATAGAAGTGCACGGACGTTCCACACGGGCGTTGTACGCTCGTAAAACGACGACGACTTGATTAACGCACTTTACGATTACGGCCGCGCACGCTACGCCGACATAGTGCGAAATAAAAATTAAAGCCCGAACGAATACACTCGATGGGCTTTATTGAAGCGCCGCTTTATTACGCGAGGTGTTCTTCCGACATTGTCCGTGATTTACAAGCGTTAATGATGAATTGTTCGCGCGAGACTGGGACTTGTCCGATTTTTTTCCTCAACATGTGCGCGACACAGAGAGCGTATCGCATTGAGGATTCGGCTTACATTTTATTGGAGCACACACGTCGGGTGGGTGTATCAATTAATTAAGTCTCGTTGCGTGTGTGCGAGATAAGTTCGTACATCTCGTTTTCCGTACTTTTAAATTCAATTAACGCGCTCGAAATGATACCGCCGTTATCGCACGAGGAAGAGACTCTCGGCTGTATTTATCGATTCTTTCGTTTGATTGTTTTATCGTGTTAATCTTTATAGATTCACACACACACACACACACACGACAGCGCAAGAATATGAGTATCTAGAAATATTCGTAGCTGGATTGCATATTATTATAGCGATGTTCCGAGCGGTATTGATTAAATAATACATATGAATTTCCAAATAGATTTTACTAAACCAACTGGACATGTGCAAGAGAAGAGGATGAGAAGGAAAGAAAGAGATAGAGAGAGAGAGAGAGAGAGAAAGAGAGAGAGAGAGACCCGAGTATATCCACAGCGGATAAGCTATAAATAACAAGCGGATAAACGAGATATTCAGTGGCTATTTCGAAAACGATAAAAACAATAGTCATATACACATGTATCCGCCTCATCTCTATAACAATGCTGCATATTAAATTAATAATATATATGTAATATACGTGCCGCATATTAAATTAATTCCCTGTCACGTTATCCACGTTAAATAATATCTATATAGAATAAAGTTTTCGCGAAGTAACTCGGGGGGAAGGCCTGTCCTACCATACTTCCAATTCATCGACGTGGAATCGAATGCGCGTCGATATGTTTCCTATGAAAATTTCAGTCCGACTCCTCGCGACTATCACGCGATGCTCACCGAAGGAAGGAAGGAAGGAAAGAAAGTTGGTCGAGAACTAAATTGCCCCCTTATTCTTGCTGCGTCGAGCGTTACTACGCACGTTGCAGCGAGCATAAGGGCCACGTACACTATTAGCCGCCGTAGTGCGCCTCTAGTTATGACCCGAAGTAGTGCCGGATGTTCAGCTCGGTGAATAAGTAATAATCGTCGTCGATACCGTGAAGCACGGTCGCCGGTCATTCCAGAAATCGACAAGGCGCCTTTCGTCTCGTTTGGAGAATCGAAAAACGGACCGAGTCTCCCCTCCCCTCCTCTCCTCTCGCAGAGCGAAGTTGCACGTGAGGTCTAAACGTCGGTCGTTGTCATTCTTTGCAGAATTGGCAGCCACCTTTTGCCGTGGACGTGGACAAGTTCAAGTTCGTCCCGAGGATACAGAGGCTAAACGAGTTGGAAGCCAAGACAAGGATAAAACTTAACTTTCTGGATCAGATCGCGAAATTCTGGGAGCTGCAAGGTTCCTCCTTGAAGATCCCTCTGGTGGAACGCAAGGCGCTCGACTTGTATTCCTTACACAAAATCGTCACCGACGAGGGTGAGTCTCGAATTGATACGTTTCGCTTGTCCTACTGCAGTTCCGTGCGCGTTCACCTCGCGCTTCTTTATCTTGCTCACACTGCTCGTTGTTTGCAGGTGGTGTAGACACAGTGACGAAGGAGAGAAGATGGGCGAAAATCGCCAATAAATTGGGTTACCCATCCGGACGAAGCGTGGGCAGCATATTGAAGAATCACTACGAGAGAATTTTATATCCCTTTGACGTCTTCAAGCTGGGAAAGACATTGTCGGATATCGTAAGTATTGGCCTGCTCTTTTTAGCTGAATTGGCTGTACTAATTCAGGAAATGAAGGAAGATACACATTGAAGTGTATGGAACGTACATACGAGATACTCTACGAGATTCTCACGTTTCAGTGTACGTAAATTTCTTGAATTAGTGCAGCCAGTTTAGCTAGAGAGAAACGAACCATGAATATTCTCGTCCCGTAGAGAAAGTATTTTTTCGACTCTTTTTTTTTTTTATTTCGTTCAATTAATTTTTTCGTTGATCTTTTCGCAACTTTTGTATCTAAAGAAATATATTCTGTGCAGAAAATCGAGCCGGAAACGGACGCGAACGAGAAGAGAGATCGCGATTACAAGCCGCACGGCATAATATCTCGACAGCAAATCAAACCGCCGAACGAGAAGTTCTCAAGACGGTCCAAGCGGTACTCCGGCCAAGAAGAGAAGCAAGATGTGTCGATTAAGCAGGAGGACTGCAAGGAGGAGTGCGACTCGGACAATGAGTGCAGGGATGTGGTCAAGAACAGGTATTACAACCCCGACGTGGATAAAACCGCGGACAAGAGCAAGGAGCTTAAGAAGTTACAATTTTACGGACCAGGCCCGAAAATGGCCGGCTTTAATACCAAAGAGGCGAAGAAGTCGAACAAGACGCGTGGCTTGAAGTTCGTTTACGAATTCGACCCCGTGAGTATATAATTTCTTCTTGTCAGCTTAATTATATATCTTAGCTCTCTCTCTCTCTCTCTCTCACACACTCAGATAACGTCGGAAGTCCTATTTACCTCTGTATCGCTCTCGTTCTCATTTGTAGCTGGCAAAATATATCTGCCATAATTGCGGGAGGGGTGACAACGAAGAGAACATGCTGCTGTGCGACGGTTGCGACGACAGCTATCACACTTTTTGCCTTATGCCACCGTTGACGGAGATACCGAAGGGCGACTGGCGGTGTCCCAAGTGCGTCGCCGAGGAGGTCTCGAAGCCGATGGAGGCGTTCGGCTTCGAACAAGCACAGAGGGAGTACACGCTGCAACAATTCGGGGAGATGGCCGATCAGTTCAAGAGCGACTATTTCAACATGCCCGTGCACGTAAGTTGCCCTCGTTAATAACCATCGTACGGATACACCGAGGCTCGAGTCGAGTCGTGATTCTATCCCACGTTTTCTTCTTCCTTCGTATGAACATTTCAGAATGGAAACTGCACAATACGTATATGCTATTATTAATAATGACTTTTTCCCACATCGAGTAGGCAGCTTTATCGATTCCTTCTGCATAGTTGTTTGGAAAGAAAGAGAGAGAGAAAGAGAAGAAAAAAAATGAATTACACCATCTGCGTCAGAAGTTATTTATGACTCGACTGTCCGTGCATCGTATAACACACATTTATCTCTCTTACATTCAATCGTCGCGTTCGCAGATGGTCCCAACGTCGCTAGTGGAGAAGGAATTCTGGCGGATAGTCTCGTCCATCGACGAGGACGTGACGGTGGAATACGGCGCCGATTTACACACGATGGATCACGGCTCCGGATTCCCGACCAAGACCAGCGTGAATCTGTTCACGTGCGATCAGGAGTACGCCGAATCCTCGTGGAATCTGAACAACCTGCCGGTGCTGCGTGGCAGTGTATTGGGTCACATCAATGCCGACATCAGCGGCATGAAGGTACCATGGATGTACGTCGGCATGTGCTTCGCCACGTTCTGTTGGCACAACGAGGACCACTGGAGCTATTCCATCAACTATCTGCATTGGGGCGAACCAAAGACATGGTACGGCGTGCCGGGAGCGCAGGCCGAACGTTTCGAGCACTCCATGAAGTCCGCGGCGCCAGAATTGTTCCACAGCCAGCCTGATTTGTTGCACCAACTAGTCACCATCATGAATCCGAACATATTAACTCACGAAGGTACGGTGCGGCATAAGGTGTATTAGTGATGTCTTCTTTTAGTGTAAAAAGATAAGCTCTTATAAGGCTACGTTTGGAAACACCACACTGAGGATAGAGTGGCATTTTTAATCGGGACAAAGCACCAAACGAAAATTTCTTGACAAGAAAAATTACATCTCTGTTGCTGAGCCTTTAAATGGCGGTTTGTCGCAACTCTTATTATAGAAACTCGAAAAAGGTGTGTGGACATGTTCGCCATTTCTAGGCTCCCACCTCGTATCTCTCTGGCAATCGAGTCTACAGACTAAAGGACCGTCTACAATAGCCGCAAAGTACGCAGTAAGACATAAGCAATAAGCTAATTGACCAACCACAGTCCACTATCTTTGGACTGTAAGAATCCAATTGGCTAATCAGCTTACTATTTACGTCTTACTGCACATTTTGCGGTTATTGTGGACGGTCCTTAATAGTATAGTCGATTTATTAACTTGACCCAACTCGACGGCGTTTCATTGGTCCAATATTAAAATCTATAGTATATGTAGTATAAATTATAGATTTCAGTATTGATTGTTATTAATGGAACGTTGAGTCGGGTCGAGCCAGCAAATTGGAGTGCGCTACTACAAGCATGTCTTTAAGTTCTATGATCAGTGTCTGCCACAACGCGGTAAATTAAAGTGGTCATAGATCAATCGTGTAAAAATAGTCGGTCTTGCATTATTTACATGTGCATATGGCGTAGAATGTTGATTGTGCCATGTCTTTCTGATTGCGTCTTTTAATAGAATATGTGCAAACGGCATAATATAGCCGGTACTGGTCACAGAACTTAGACACGTTCAATCTATGGTCCAAAAGTCTGAAACCGTATCATTGGAAATTGAATTGACTTTGGCCAACCAGTGCAAAATTCACTAATCCCAAGTTTAGTGAAATTTAGTGAATTTTGCACTAATTGTTCAATTCCAATTCAATTTCCAATGCGTAGTCTGATACGAGCTTGAGACAATGCACGTCGAGAGTCTAGAAGTGGAGCGCACGTTTACATTTTTCTACACTCAAGAAGGGACACCTATAATGTATAATATTATTGTATGTTGCTTCATTGTTTTAAAATTGAGACCGAAAATGCAAGAAACATTTTATGAATCATATACATTTCTTTGTATCTATTGAGTTGTCTTGTTTTATGAGCTTACCAAAGGTGGTTCGTTTGTCATTTATCCAGACATGACTTTGTTAAGATCTACAATTGCGTAATGTTGCAACCGTACGGGGTATTGATCGCATATTATTAATACGCCCATAGGAGTACCAGTATTCAGAACTGATCAGCATGCGGGTGAATTCGTAGTGACATTTCCGAGAGCGTATCACGCTGGATTTAATCAAGGCTACAACTTCGCAGAAGCCGTCAACTTCGCACCTGCCGACTGGGTATGTGAATTATACAATTACCGGTCGCATTTCGTCCAAACTGTCGAGTTGAGTGAGGTAAATAAATATTGAAATGTTGAAAAATGGTACTCGACACACCCGGTGTTTCTAACAGCTCAAGATCGGACGGGAATGCATCACGCATTATTCGAATCTGAGAAGATTCTGCGTATTCTCCCACGACGAGTTGGTCTGCAAAATGTCACTGGACCCGGACTCGTTAGATATCGGAGTGGCGACCGCGACGTATCACGACATGCTGCAGATGGTGGACGACGAGAAGAAGTTGCGGAAGAACTTGCTGGAATGGGTAAGTTCATGGCGCGTTTGGATCTTGCGAAGCGCGACGTTCGTCGTCGCGTAGAAGCTGTTCTTTTACGCAATATATTTACGTCTCTCGTTTTTTTAATCGGCATTAAGGATTGTCATTAAGGATTAGAATTCGACGAGTCAGCTTCGATTTCGAGCTTGTGTCGATTGATAGGCGGGAGCTCGAGCGGCCACATTGAGGATAGACCGACGAATCTTCTCGATCGGCAATTCTCAATCCCCGGCAATCTCAGCGTCTCTACAAGATTCAGAGGGAACTTGTTGCGTCTTTCCCGACCGCCCGTCTCACTTCCACCCTCCGCGTCCCACGCCAGACGTTCGATTCCGCATCTGCACGTTTCATTACGGCGACGATCTGCGTTCGCATGACTTGACTTTATACGGGGAATCAAACGGCCGAGCGTGTGGGACATGAACGCATGTTTCCATGGCCGACGGCAGGGAACACGACATGTAAATCGGGCGATACGTCTGGCGCGTATATACAGCGGGTCGACGTATTCAGGACATGTAGTACGCCACATGCCAACAGCGCGCTCTCCCCGCGCGCTCACACACACACGCGTAGGCGCGCGCGCTCACACGTACGCGCGCACACGTCGGCGCGGGCACGTAAGTGCGCGTGCACACGCGGTAAAATCGCGGTATGCGTCGAGTGATATCGCCGACCATTTGGACGTGTGCGTCGCGGCAAGACGCACAAACCGTCCGCCCGTCCGTCCACGTTGTAAACGCAATTAATGCCGCCACGTATTTTCGACGCATTCGCCCGGCCGAGCTCGTCGTTACTCTGGTCGTTGCCGTCGACGAAATAGCGTTCTCGCGACGCGATCGGCCTTGACTGCTCCTCGGCGCCCGTGTTCGCTCGCGGTGCGATTTCGATTATGTAACTTTCGGCGGTGAGTAGAGGTTATGTTTTCGAAGTTACCGTGTGTGCCATGATGCTGCTGAACGTGCGTACCATTTTGTCGGATCGCGTAGCACAGGATCTGCCGGAGCTCCGGCGGGATGGACACGCGCGCGGGAACATACGCGACGACGGTGTGACCGCGCTGCTCGCCTGAGCCTTTCGCCATCTGCGCGTCGCTCCTTTCTACGCAGATGGATACATGTGCGCGCCAATGCGGTCCACGATACTGTCGATATTGCCGATATCATCGTTGCTCCCTTCACCCTTAGTTGCCTGCAAATCGCGCCGCGTCTGTGCGAGCTTTCTCTCTCGTTCTCTCTCAGAGGTGGCTCCCGAGATATACGCGTGTTTCTGAGTCTGTGAAACTTGTTCTGCTCAGGGTGTGACAGAGGCGGAGCGTGAGGCGTTCGAGTTGCTACCGGACGATGAAAGGCAGTGTGAAGCCTGTAAGACTACCTGCTTCCTGAGTGCCGTCACGTGCTCGTGTCACAGCTCACAGCTGGTCTGTCTGAGACATTTCGCCGACCTGTGCTGCTGCCCACCGGAGAAGCACACCTTGCGTTACCGTTACACGTTGGACGAGCTGCCGATCATGCTGCAGAAGCTGAAGCTGAAGTCCGAGTCGTTCGACTCGTGGGCGGCCAAGGTGAAGGAAGCGATGGATCCCAGGAACGACAAGATCGAACTGAGCGAGCTGAAGGAGCTCCTGAACGAGGCCGAGAACAAAAAGTTCCCCGAGAGCGAGCTGCTCACCGCTCTCACCACAGCGGTGCAAGACGCTGAGAAGTGTGCGAGTGTTGCGCAGCAGCTCCTGAATAACAAGCAACGTACTAGGTCGGTAAGACACTTGAGGTCTCTTTTCGAAGAACTTTCTGAACCGGTGTACACAGGTGCGGTAAGTTAGAGTGAAACCAACTGTATTTGTTTCGCTCTAACTTACTGCACTAGTGTACACCAGTTCAGAAAGTTCTTGGGAAAAGAAGCAGACCTGTTGTCGTGAGGCTTGGTATGACTCTTGATTCCCCGTTTGCACAGGACCAGGCAGTCGGTCGATACCAAGTACAAGCTCACCTTGGAGGAACTGACATTGTTCCACAAGGAGATCAGCAATTTGTGCTGCGAGCTCAAGGAATCAGACGGAGTCAAGTACATACTGGACCAGGTGTTGCAGTTTCAAAAGGACGCGGAGGAATTGGAGTCCAAGGGTGACGACTGCGACATCAACAAGCTGGAGAAGTGCATCGACTTTGGTGATTCTATCTGTATCGAACTGCCTCAGCTTCAACGGTTGAAGCAAGTACGTATTGGTTGCTCTCGAGGAAATGTACATTCCGATCCTTAGCAGATCCTTGTTAACCAAATTAGATTAATTAGAAAAGAATTAGTTAGATTCAGTAAATTGTGAAGCATTATTGATTGATCTTGCTTTTCGTTGCAGAAATTGGTACAGGTACAGTGGCTGGAGGAGGTGAAGTCCGTCCAGGACGATCCGCGAAACGTCAGTCGCGAGGATGTGACGAAGCTGATCGAGAAAGGTATGACGATACCGCCGCACTTCAGCGTGGAGAACACGCTCTCGTTGTTGCACTCTCTCACAAAGGCGATCGACAAGTGGGAGGAGAAGGCCAAGCTGTTCTTGCAGACGAAGAACAGACGTATCATTGCGGAAGTGGAGGAGTTCATTCGCGAGGCGGACGAGGTTGAGGCATATTTGCCGAGTCTGGACACTCTGCAGGACATGCTGAGCAAGGCAAAGAACTGGACGAAGATGGTGAACGAAATCCAGGCGAGGGAGAATTGTCCGTATTACGACACATTGGACGACCTGGTCAGGAAAGGCAGAAACATCCCGTTACACTTGGACGCCTTGCCAATATTGGAGTCGACTCTTTCGCAAGCGAAAGCATGGAAGGAGAGGACCGCGAGGACATTCCTGAGGAAGAACTCGCACTGCACACTGATGGAAGCGCTGTCGCCTCGCGTCGGTGTCGGTGTACAGGCAATGAAGACCAAGAAGAATAACAAAGGCGACGAGTCCGTGGGCGCTGTATACGTCTGCGACACGAAACTAGACGATTCGAGCGAATCCGCTGATGTGGTGGCCGCCTTCAAATTGGCGCAGCAACGCGAGATGGATGCGATGAGGCATCTACGGGATAGAAACTTCAAGAAGGAGGAAACACAGGATTCCAAGTACTGCGTTTGCCGGCGGCCGAAATTCGGCATTATGTTCCAGTGTGAACTCTGCAAGGATTGGTTCCACTGTAAGTACGACGGGGCATTCGAGAAGTTGCGTACCACCGCACAGATGCAATCGTTATTGTATTATTGTCATGCAGATATATTGTGTTGATTAAAAAGAAAAGAAAAGGCAAATGCAAACAAGAGCTCCAAGTGTTGATCCGTTAGCGGTGAATATTTAATTCGAGATAAGAGCGTTACGATTGTAAAGAACGCTGTCTTTGTAACCGTAACATTCAGTATCTTGAATAAAATTTTCTTCGCTGATAGGCCATTGTTTTGCTCTTATATACCCTTTTTTTTTTTATTTTTTTTTTATAGGGTGTGCCAGATCAACATGGACAAACTTCGTGAAGGCATAGAACGTATTAAGGTGAACAAAAAGATTCTCTATCATTTTGCAACAAAATTTAGTTATTATTGAAAACAGCCATGTATAGAGGCTTCTTTAATTAATAACTCAGAAATTGGCATAATGATAAAGGACTTAATAAAAAGATATATCCACGAAATGGCATTTGCGATCGATTCAGCAAACTTGTAAAATTGGACGAACACTTTTACTCGAACAATCAATAAGTAGTTGTAAAAGTAACATTGACAAAATTATGAGGAAAGAAGGTTCCATGTCAAGTTAATTTTACGACTATTTATTTTAAAACTACTTATTAATTTTTCGAGTGAAAGGAAAGTGTCGTCCAATTTTACAAGTGTGCTGAATCGATCATAAATGTCATTTTATCATCAGATATATTTTTTTATTTGAAAGTATAGCGCAAAAAACCTTGGCATGTGTTTTCTCACTTCTGACGGCATTAAACGAGGATAATCATAGCGACTACTTCGGAGCTTAATAACTCGAAATTTTGCGTGTTTGCAAAATAGTAGAAGACTTTTTTTGTTCACCTCAATCCATTCTACGTCCTCACGAAGTTTATTCATATTGGTCCGGAACACTCGGTATTTTTTTGAGAGCTTTTATATTCGTACTATATTGATTGTTCACTCATCGATCTTTATCCTGCAGCCAACTGCGTGCCTTTGCCCAAAACTTCGTACAAAGGTAAGTCGCCAACGTCGAGGGATATGCGGTTTCTGTGCCCGTGCTGCTTACGTTCCCGACGACCCCGGCTAGAAACGATTCTGGCCCTCTTGGTGAGTCTCCAGAAAATTCCGATCCGCGTGCCGGAGGGCGAAGCGTTACAGTGTCTGACGGAACGTGCGATGAATTGGCAGGCGAGTACATTGTCGAATACGTTCCCCAAAATAGTGTCCGAGTTGAACGAATAAAAACGTCTCTAACCAAGCGCGCGTGTGTTGCAACAGGACCGTGCGAGGCAAGCGTTGGCCACCGAGGAGATCTCCTCCGTAGTGGCGAAGCTCTCCGTGATGTCGCAGAAACTCGTGGAAGCTGCAGCTAGGGAGAAGACGGAGAAGATCATCAGCAGCGAGCTCAAGAAGGCCGCGAACAATCCCGAGTTACATAAGAGAGTGCAAGCTATCGCGCCCCTCAGCGGAGTGCATTCGGACGACAGCACGCACAGTAATACCGTAAGTGTCGATCGCGAGCTAATCGATTCAATCAGTTGCAAACTATCGTGCCTGGTAACTCGCTAAGCTGCGTAAATGTACGTTGAATGTTTCAGGAGGACGACGATGACGTCATTCCCATCGAAGACGAACCCACGTGTAGTACCTTCAACAGTAGTGAGCATGCTTATTCATATAGTGAGTTCCTAATTATTATACATAAATTACATACAGGATGTTCCAGAAAATCTTAACAGAGCGCTGGTTAGAACGTGCTAAACTGAGTGGGAAAGTCGTATGTCATTTTTTGAAAATTCGCGATAGTTAATGAGGAATTAATTATTCTGCACGAGTTAATGAGCGGTATATGTCATGTATGGTAATTTTTGTACATATTCGGCTTTCCGTGCGCTCATTAACTCATGCAGAATAATTAATTCCTCATTAACTATTGCGAATTTTGCAAAGTGGTGCATGACTTTCATACTTAGTTTAACTCATTTCACTAGCATTCTGTCAAAACTTTCCGGATATCCCATATGTCCTGGTTTCTCGTTACAGTCGTCTTGTTTGATATTTGAAGCGAGAAAACATATTTTTGCGAAATACTTTGACATATCCATCAAATGACACTTGCGAGATCGACTAGGCACATTTGTCAAATATCCGAAAACTTTCCTCTTACTCTAACGATCAATAAAATTAGTACAGCCTTTTTAATACCTACCTTTATTATATTTTGCCATTTATCAATTTTACGGCTATTTATGAATTGTTAAAGTAAAAGGGAAATGTTTTCTATACCCTTTGATTTCAACATATTCCGCAAGAATTCTGGACATACGTTTTCTCGCTTTTAACTTCATTAATCAAGATTACCGCGGTGTGGAAACAGAAGCTTTAATTATCATGCATAAACATAGGCGGTGTATCAGATAAGGAAACAATTATATTTCGCGTTGCTCGCCGTAGTCTCAAAAGTTCGACGGAAAATTCAATCGGGCGAAGGCGGCGATGCGACGGGCGGCGTGTTGTCGCCGAGCGCGAGGTCGCGCTTGGAGGAGCTGATGATGGAGGGCGATCTCCTGGAAGTGGCTCTCGACGAGTCGCAACACATCTGGCGTATCCTGAGGCATACGTACAGTCACAACAACATGTGTACGTATCCTTCGTTCGAGGAGATGCAGGCTAATCAAGATAAAGACGTGAAGAAGCGAGGTAGAAAGAGAAAATCGGAGGAGGCAGACCCGAAGGCGAAGATCGGCCGGCAGAAGGTTGAGCGGCAGAAAATCGACGAGAAGATTGCGAACAAACGCAAGAGCGGAGGCCCCGCCACCAAAGAGAAGAAACAAAGTATCTCGCCTGTCCCCATGAAACGAGACTCCGGAGTGGGATTGAAACGTGGACCTCGAAAGGTATTTAATTTTTTAGAAACGACGATTTCGTGTCTCGAATTCAATCTTTCGTGTCGTTCAAGTGATTGCACTCCTCGAGTTTATGAATTTGTTGATTAATCAATGCAATTCAGCGAATTTCTTGATTAATTAATGAATCCCTGCATTTAAATCTACCACTATAGGAAATTTTATAAAGACAGTTATAAGTTTATATATGTATTAGGAAATAATATACAAAAGTGACGATGAGAAGGTGTAAGACCGTTGAAGGACTCGTTTTCTCGGTGGCGAGTAATTTAATTACCGTGGGAAAGTTTCAATTCGAGACACTTCTTCGCAGCTTGATGATGCGAGCACGTTCGTTTCGCGAACGTCGAATAGCTCGACTTCAGTTGAATATGGCTTGCAGATGAAACGCAAGGAGGCCGAAGACGGGCCTAAGAAACGAGGCGGCAACCGCAAGAAGACCAAACAAGACACGTCTGACGAAGAGGACGACTGCGCGGCGGAAAACTGTCTACGACCTGGTGGTAAGGATGACGTTGTTGTGTATAACATATTCGCAACGTGGCTTTAACGAATATCTTCGACGTGTGTGTGTTCTCACTGTTGTTCTCTCGCGAGAGATACATCATAATTATATACACACGGTAGATATATATAACAATGAACAATGTTGTCAGCAATAAACATTATATTACAAGGATTGTGTACGCAAATTTTTTGATCACACAGTACGCGCGTCGCGGTCGTAGGGATTATTGTTTTGCGTACTTGATTTCGTATATGTACATTCTTGATTTGATAATAATTTTTCATTTCGCCCGCTACTTTTGTGTTCTCTCGAACTTTTACGATTCTCCCTTGGTTTTGCGAGCACGTTTCAACGTGTGTATTGTTTTATTTGTTATTTAGGTAAAGAAGTTGATTGGGTTCAGTGTGACGGTGGCTGCGAGGGTTGGTTCCATATGCATTGTGTTGGATTGGATCGCACAGAAATCGCGGAGGAAGACGATTATATATGTAGCAACTGTAAACAGGCCGATCAGAATGCATCGGTAAGGGATAAGTAAAGAGAAGAGGAGACGGAGGGAAAACACATTTTTGACTTTCCCCACGCTTTTCCCTTTCGTCTGCTCGTGGAAAAAGAAAACATGGAAATAAAGGAACACGTGTACATATATATATATGTGTGTGTGTATATATATGTATATATACACATGTATATCATCGATTGTGTGTGCTCTTACTGTGCGCATTATTGGTCGCACCTTGCATTTCAGTCTATACGCACGATGTACACGTGAACAATCCTACGTTCTCGGATCGCAAAAGAAGTTTTATTCGCCTGGTAATGTCGCTTTTTGTCTTCTTTTCGGCATTCTTACCGTAAAAAAAGGAAAAAAAAAGAAAGATGGGCCAATCTCTGTTATAGGTTTAGAATAAGTTTTTTTTTTTCCTTTTTGTGTTGAACGTTGTAGTCGAGAGCGCCAGATCATCTGGCGGAATCATTAGGCCTGGATGCACTTCTTTCCCTTTCTCAGCCCCAGGAACACCAGGGCGCCACCGACACGGAGGCGGGCGTCTAGGAAACGACATTCCCCGTCTGGACCTACTAAGCCCACTTCGTGTCGTCGAGCTTCGCACGGAGGCTCGGGACGTTTACGATCGTGACTCTCAATCTCCAACTGAACTTGTGGTGGTGTAATGCGTTTAGCGTTTTAATTGTCTCTCCCAGTGTTGTTTTGTACTGTAACCCGGCATTGCAGATCGTCGATCGTCGTTCAACCTGTGCCTGTCCTCTTTCCTTTTTTCCTCTCTCTTTCTTCGACCGGAGTAGCGTTCGATGAAGGGCCAAAGTATTGTAAAACGCCGTGGCTGGTCTTTCATTCGCGTGCCTGTAGACCGTTAGCAACACCCGCTAGTCAATCATCGATCTGCATTTACGCACCGACCCGTGCGGGAAAGTCTTGCGTTCTTCAGTTACGTAGGGAGATATAACGCGAGGACACCACGCGACTTCGAAACCTTACAGTCCCGCGGGGATCGCTTGTTGTTCCTGTCCGCGGAAATTCGATTTCGCGCACACGAAGAGCGAGCGAAGCGCTCTCTGCATCTCTCGTTTTAACCGTACGACCGCAAAAACGCTTTACTTGCGAACTTTTTTTTTTTATTGGATTGTTTTTGTGTAAAGAAGAAGGATTGCCAATATTCCGTCTGTATGGCATCCGATTGCGCATGAGTCACGGATGAACCGTGATTATAATTATATTTATCATGAATTTTGTAAGGCCGTTTACGTTATTAAAATGTTGTCCCTTTGCGCCGTTTACCTATCAGCGATGCCGTGCCCCCCCCCCCATCAGTAATGCTCGCTCGAACAGCCGAGTGTCATTTTCCAGTTTTTCACACGAGATCGACGATCGTCGAGTGAACGGACAAATAAACGAACGACGCAAACGTGCACACGCGCCCATGTGAAGGACGCGATCTGTAACGATGGTTACGATCTCGTCTTACCGACACGAGATAGACGTAACAGAACATGAAATATGGCGAATGAAGTTAAAGCTCCTGGGTAGTCGCTGCAACTGTCTTTGTTTGATGACGGCAGAAGCGAAGAAACGCAAGTCTAGAATTCTTGCGTTATACGTTCAAATAAGAAGATATACTCACAAAATGACATTCGTGATCGATTCAGTACACTTATAAAATTGTCCGAGCACTTTTATTCGAACAAGCAAGAAATAGTCGTAAGATTAACAACTACAAAATCATGAGGAAAGGTGTTAAAATTAATGGTTCTGTGTCGTATAAATTTTACGGCTGTTTATTGGTTGTTTGAGTAAAAGAAGAGTGCTCGGACAATTTCATAAGTGTACTGAATCGAATCACAAATTTCATTTTGTGAATATATCTTTTTATTTGAACGTATAATGCAAGAATTCTTGACGTGCGTTTTTTCGCTTCTGACGTCATCAAACAAGGACAGTTGCAAGACCGGAGATCAGGGGAGCCTGAACCGCGAGCTGAAGCAAACCCGGACGAGCTGAACGATACACACGCCGCAGAGAGAGAGAGAGACAATAGACTTGTATAAATAGATGGAGCGTTTTTCCGCAAGAGGTCACCAAGACCTGATCAGAAAATGCTGCGGGCTTTGTATGTCTCAACTTCTCTAATTGCTGAAATCTAACGGAGGTGGAAATCTTTCCCTACTGTGCGACGAAAATGATTGGAGACGAACATGTGGTTCTGTTATATTGTTTATTTTTGGAGGATCTTATAAAAAGACGCGGTCTAAATGTACAAGTCTATTCGCAAAGACGTAACAAAGGCTTCTCACGTGTGGTGGTATTAGTCGTCGACGAAAGCTATCGTCTGACCTTGTTACAAAAGAAGTCTCGTTTGTGCCGGCTTCTATTGAATGTTATGCGCGCGCAGGAAACATCGAGAATTCCTTTACATTAGATGGTATGTACAGAGACTGAGATATGTGCGTATTACTGTTTCAATTATACATACGTTAAGATATAAGAATGTCGCAGACGAATGTCTCGTCGGAAGATTAGAATATCACATAATACGTCGAGTATGTGAATTACTTAGTGAATAAATATAAGCGAGTCTAGTTTGTATAAAATAAAAAGAAGACGAATTATTATACAGCAGAGATGTATAAATATCATATCTACTATGCCTTCCCGAAACAATAGCCTGTAACGCATCGCTGGCTTTTGCAGCAGAGTCAACGGCCGTCCTCCCCTTCGCTTTTGCGCGTCGAGGTTTGCGCAAAATTCAATTTTGTTGTACACGCTGTGTGATGCTTGTCGCATCTGGGTATCGAATTTATGCGTGGGCTTTGTCTCCCACTGTTCGACGTCTATAAACTACCGAAGAAAGTCAAACTGGATCCCACATCAAGTCCTTACTTGTATCTAATGACGAATTTGATCATCCACACTACGTCGGATTAGCACACGCTAAAGGCCGCTACAATTGTAAAGTGTCTAAATATAGCAGCATGATATAAGCACTTTAACGATGAAATAACTAATGTATATTCTGCTGAATAACGTGACAATATATATCATTATTAGATGGTTAATCACATGCAAAATGCTTATATAAAGTAAAAATACTAATACTGCGTATCTAATTCTGGACGTTTTTGTTGTTGTTGTGGTCTTGAAATACGAATATTCATATTTTTAACATAGAAAGTATATAATGAATATATACATGTACATTTATTAAATATATATAAATATATTATGTTTAAAGATTAAACATACGTATTTAAAGACCAAAACAACAGAATGTCCATAGTTACGTATGTGTCCAGGAATTGATATTTTTACTTTATTTTTTATTTATACGATTGCTTCATACGTGTGTAGCAATCTTCTCGATATCCGGCGTAGTACGGGTGATCGAAGTCGCGATAAGATACTCAGATTTGGACTTTTTTTTAGAATTAAATGATGTTTTCCAGTTGACTCTCGATTATGAATGTACATTCTACATTTACGACTTATTTTTGCATCTGGTATCATCAGTTTTACCACGAGATTATACATATACATGAAATTGTATATGTCGCGGGGAAATGATGAAAATGGAGATTTCATCAAATCACGAGTGGGGTGGGGGTTGTGATTTGATCATCTACCTTGGAAATTTGATCAAATCTCCATTTTCTACCTTAGGGATTTGATGAAATTTCCATTTTTATCATTTCCCTACGACATATGTCACTTTTTTCACTTAACACGAGAAAAGTTTCAGTTGATGAATATCGCTACGAGTCCGAGCGATCTCATGCAGTGGTCTACAATCGAACAATTGGAAGCCAAGCCCAAATGTGAGAACGTTGTTCAGATCAGTAAATAGCGACGTCTACAACAATGAAATTTTGCGTAAGCCTTCAGCCGCGATTAATAAATATTTGCGCACGGTCTCCTGTCTATCGAACAGCGCCGCATGTCGTCCTGATGGTAAAATAACTACGAAGCGACCTTGTCAATGGATACCCGGTCCGGTGGATGAGCAATACAGCCTTGGTAGTTGTTGAAACGGCGATCTGTGCTTCTTATCAACGGATTTCTTGGGCCGGTGTATGAACAACGTGTCTACGTTGTGGTCGAGATGAATGGCCTGTGCCTCTCGTTGACAGATTTCTCGGACCATTGAATAAACAATGCGGCCTTCGTTGTCGTTTAAGTGAAATCTGTGTGTTTATTAATTGACTGACTCGGGTAGAGCAACATTCGTAGGAAGCAAATTGAGACCGTAATTGGCACTTAGAACGTAAACGCACAGACTCAACGATGGGAGACCGACCAGAATGGGAGACGGGACGCGCGCTTAGAGTTCTAAAGCGCGAAAATTCTCACATATCGCCATGGATATTTATTTATACTCCGACGGGAGAGTACGTGAACAATATGTGTACGAAGCGTGTATGATGCGTGATACAATAAACAATGCGAAGCGTGTACCAGGATGTTTACTTATGTTCAGTTTATGATTTTAGGAGAGAGTACGCGCGCGACTGTCATATATTTTATGACATATACAGAACCCTCGGCCGTAATCGTGTGTGGTAAAATTAATGGAATACCGTGTGCAAAAAAGTAAGTCGTTAATGTAGAGTATAATTTTCTCTTACAAGACCTGGTTTTCGAGGGAAACATACGTAATAAAAGCCGGGAAATGATTCGTCGAACGACACTTTAGAGGGTTATTTTGTTTGCTCATGTAGTGTATACGACTTCGCAATTTATAAGATTCGACTGATAATTCGCCGTCACTTTGTACATTGATAGAACTTCCGTGACATCTGATATACAATGGAAAAACTATAAGAATACGAAGAAAATATTAGAGAACTATTGTTCTTCAATAGTATTCCAGTAATTTTTTCACATTTTTATAGTTTCTTTTCCATTGAACAGGAACAGTTTAGAGTGGGTCTTTTGTGATAAATCGGTTTTTCAGCCGGTATTTTTATCACAATTCTTCTTGCAAAAGTGCTTTAGAACTCAGCGTTAATTATTACAAACAGTCGCCGATTGTAATCAACGATTATTGCGATCGAAGACCATATGCAAAAAAAAGCGTGAATCGCGAATCGAGATTTATACAAAATTGAATTATTGTACGGAGAAACGTTTGGTATTATTTGTTAATGTACGCGCGAGAGTTTCGCACTAACAATGGGTCGACGAGGCTCTTATTTGCGATTCGTTTTCGCATCGAGTTTATTTTCACGAGAACTGTATATATAATTATGATTTTGCGGAATCATAAGTAGTTCTCCCACCGATTTAAATCTTGTATGACTGTCACGTGATTCATATCCGTGTAAGTGCGAAATTTTTCGTTGTACGCGAAATGTAGAGTGCTTTGTATAAAGGAAGAGCGAAATCTTTATCTTAGACTAAGTGGCGAGCGGCGGGGAGAAATTTGTACAATTAAACTCGTTGAGAATGAAAGAAGAATTTAAGACGAAAACGATCACGTAGAATTCTGTATTTCTACGCGGATTTCAAAAATCGTGAAAAAGGGAGAGAGAAATTATATATTAAACGTGAATCAGCTGACGCACAGTGTGTTTTAAATATTTGTATACCGAGCATGCTACGCGAATTGTCGGGCAGTTCTACTCGAGATGAATGACGAACTCTGTTAACGAGCGCGTTGGATCGTATTCCACTATTAATTGTAGTGTTAAGAGGGAGGGAAAAAATGGAGAAGAGATGAAAGAGAGAGAGAGAGAAAGAGCAAAGAAAAATTCCAATAGTCGATTAACAGACTTCGCTGCAAATTCATTGACAGATTTTAGCCACTTGCACATCGTTGGCAACAAGTATGCTGTGTTTTTTCATTTAAAACAGGCTGTGAAACAAAGAAACAACATAAGAATGAGAAAAGAAAGAGAGAGAGAGAGAGACGTCACATAACACATATATTTTTGTACAGAACGAAAAGGCCCGACGACCGCGTCCACAATCGTCCGGGATATGACAGTACGACGGTTATATTAAAAGAGAGCGGTGTATTTCTAACGATAGTATTTTCGGGAACGTGCGACATGCCGATGTTGACCGTTGACCTTTTTGCTGCTATTCGAAAGTCCACGATACGGATGAAACTGTAATTGTCGCGATCTTTCGCTGTAAGATCCGCTCGGAAACTTTTATACGTAGTAACGTATTTGATCAATGGACGTCGATCTACGCTCTTCGCTACTCATGAACTTCCTAATAGCGTAGATCTACGCTCCTAATAGCGAAAGGATCGACATTCCGATTCTCTTCCGTTCCTATATATTTAATTTGTGCTTTCTTCCGCGTGACAATATACGCACAGTCGTACGTTCTCGATTACGACGTTTCTCGTCGCGAAATATATATATAAATATATATCTCGTGTTCACGTTTGTGTAAAAAGAAAGAAAGAGAGAGAGAAATAGAGCTTATTGTCATTAACGGTACATCCCTGAAATGGAGAATCACGCGTCGCCAGACGGTGTTGATCTATGTAACTATTGAAAGGGAAAGAAAAAGGAAGTGTGTACTATATATGTTATCTGGACAGATACTTGTAGCACCGTGTCGGATATTAATCACTCGTTTAGATATCTAAGGCAAAAGTGCCTATAGACGCGTTTCCGAAGAATTATCAACGCGTCGCGTCGATCCTCTCGTCATGCACAAACACTTCGGCAGCATTCTTCCCAGGCAACGTAACATGAGACAAATCAGGCAAACTTGTCGAGTATCTTGAGGCAGGTCGGTCCTTGAAACGTTCGGTTCCAGCGACCGATTCGTCGCAACGCGAACGTTACGTCTTTCTGTAGATATAGTTTTATATGTACATCTCGCGATCACACGCACGCACGCACGCACGCACGCACACACACACACATACACACACACTCACACACACATATGTAAGTAACGATATTACTTTGTAAACGATAGACGTTATTTCCGAAAGAACGTGGTAATTTGCTTCTGCTTTCTGGGAATACGTCAATGTATTCTTATGGGTCTCGCACACTGGACGCGATGGACGACCAGCGATAAGCGATGTCTAATGAAATCTCTAATTTTCTTGAAAAGAAGAGCTTTTATTTGATATCGCTCATTGCCCATCGCGTCCAATATGCGAGGCCTATTACGGATCAATTTATTAATAGGACATTTTTATACTTAGTGTGATCTTCGACCCGTCATCTGAGAAGAGAGACAGAAAGAGAAAGAGAGAAAAGGAGAGGGAAGAGTGAATATCGCAAACACACAAACACACATACACACACACACACATATACAGAGGCAGCACACACATACAGAGTGCACACTGTTACTCCGACATTCTGAATTTCTCGAATTTGCGTTTTATAGGCCTTTGTAGTTCTTACTCTGTACACTATTCTTATCGTAATTAAGTAATTTATTTGAAACTCGACCAATGCGTAATTTAGTATTTGCTACTAAAGAATTGTATAAGACGAGGCGTTTCTGTAATTTCTGACTGGAGGCTAACACGTAAAACGTAGCGATAAAGGTGTATCACTTCGCAATAGGACCTTATTTGTGGCGGGCTTCGCTCCTTTCCGATAAGAAAGTGATTTACTCCTTGTTGCATATATTATCATAGATGTATCTGTCAATAAATCATTTGACGTCGATGAGTGTGTCTTGCATGAGCCTTGGTGATAATTACGCGTCTTTTCTCGCGGCATTCGATATTACCCAGAGGTAGCACAGTTAGTTTGATATACGAACTTTTTAAACGTCCATAATACAATTATGAAACGTTACATACGTTTAAAGAATGTACATGAAACTAACACGTGCTACCTGAGTATCTTTTTCGTCACCTCTGATTTTGTTATTATGCGTTAAATTATTCGAAAATCCGGCGAACGATTGCATATTTGTTAAGAGAAAATTGGTTATTTTTAACTGGTTGTTTATCGGCGCGCGAAGATACGATTTTTCCCCCGTCGATGGAAAACTTCGAGAAATAATCTCGGGAGACGAGATCTCTCGGGGAATTCGGAGAGTCCCTCCACATCTGCCGCCAGGTAACATTATTTTAAAAGGGGTCGATGTCCGTGGAAGCGTATTCATGTAACGGGTGGGAGAGATAGAATGTCAATAAAGCGGCGAGCAGCATGAAAGTTGGGGGAGACGTGAATTTCTGGTTTACGCTCCGAAAAGGCGAGCACACGTCGTCGCGCGATTTTACGCTCGACACCGCCGACACACGTGTAAATTACTCGCTCATTTAATTATTCGGTCGATTAATTTCACGGTCGCGGGGAAAATTTCCTCCTGTGTATATTTCGCGACGTTCTTACGCTCGTGACGCGTAATAAACGTTCCTCAATTGTAAAGCGAGAGCAATGAAAACGAATCGCGTCATGCCGCTGAGTGATCGCACTCGGTCGCATAAACATCGCGACGCACATCTCGATATCACGGCCAGTAGACGGGTTATGTGTAGACAGGCCGATGACGACGGCAATGAGTCAACCTAAATTTCTCTCGATTCAACATACAGCTTCCATCGCTACTTCACATGTGAAAAATGATTCATCGGCGAGCGGCGGTCCGCGCTCTTCTCGCTAACTGCGCATGCGATACGACGAACTCAAAGGGCTCGTTGTCCGTGATTTTCGTCCGTGAGTATATCGCGAACAATCAATTATTACGCAGAATGGACAAGTACGAGAGAAAATCGAAGTGTTAAAATTTCATGACACACGCTATTTAGGTTGCGTTCCTATATTCACTATCAGTACTGAAGATCCATAGTAACACATTTCATATGTCCCAAACAGTCTCAAATTTTCGTGTTAATTTAACACAAGATTGATATGTTGAAAAATAACATATTATTACATATTACGTTGAAAATTAACACAGGATTAATATTAATTAATCGACACTAAAGTATAAAATGTGTTAACACTTTACACATGTTGAATATCGACATAATACAAAAAAATGTTGAGATAACATAAACACAATATGTTAAGTTAACACACGGGTATGTTAAAAATTTAACACAAAAATTTTAACAAGGACCGATTTAGCACAAGTACGAAATATTTTTTACTGTGATAATGAATGTCGGAACCCCCAAATATCCACATATCGCCACGTTGAGAACCACGTTGTTTTTCCAAATGAACATACACGTCCATTAATAATGCAATACCGTTGAGAATGTCGCATGTATTATTGAATGCGTTTTGCGCGTACATAAATATCGTACGCAGAAAAAAATTAGTATCAATAACAATATCTTTAAATTATATCTTATCGTGTGTGATATAATTATTACTCTTATAATTGTATATTACAGTTCGAAAATATCGTTCTTTTTTCCTATTCAATATTTTTTTCTTTCACAATTCGCAACAATTATCCTTGAATAACGAGAATACGATATTTTCAATGAAACTATATAGAATTTCTTCACGTATAAAAGCAAATTTTATCTTCATACTAGATTATATATTTTTGCTCTTATATGAGAATATGAGTTTTGAATTGATATTAATTTTTACTGTATATATATGTTTAGTCTGTAATATTCGAATATCGCTGATGATGAAAAGCCACGTCCCGAGGAAGAAGATCGAGAAGCGAGATAACGAGTTCATGTGACGACTTGAATGGGAGCATCCGTTAAGAGAATGCCTTCGGGATGAACGCACACGAGTTTGACGATATCCGCCCCCGAGCCTTCGGTCGCGCAGCGTCCTGGAAGTCTGAAAGATGCAGTGCAGGATTATCTTGAATTATTACATTCGTCATTCTTATCGCGGCGCACTTCTATCGGTCCATTTCCGCAGATCCTTTCCGCTATGCGGAGAGATTATTCGTTGAGTCAAACTATCTTCGCTTATTTAAAATCAATATCCGCTCACGATACGAAGATCAATATCATTAGATGCGCGCGAAAATCTTTTTCCCATATAGAGAAAAAATATTCTTTGGATTTAGTATACGTGTTTATTTGACTTGGATCTGTTTAATATAAACAATATAATTGAATATCAGATATCATTTTGTTTGAGTGAAAATATTTTTTTCTTAAAGTAAATCATGTTAGACAAAAATGGTATTATTTAGAGGAAATAATATATTTCGCTTTTAATGAAGAAAATTTATTTCATTATATATTAAATATTGTTTCATTGAAACAAACGAAATTCTCTATAAAATCTTTTTGTAACGTAATGTTACTTTTTTCAAATAATTTATTACACGGGACAACCATTATTATGTATTTGGATAAAAATACAAAAAAATATTATTTGACGTAAAAATATGAATATTGTTTGAGGAACTAAGTGAACCTGTTTGTTGAATGAAACATTCGTTCGTTTGTTTTATTCCAAAAGACATTTGTTTCAATTAAAGAAATTTTATTGAGTACAAAGAGACCTTTTTCTTTGTGCACAAGCTTTCGCTTTTTTTTCAGGCCATGAAATGATAGAAACTTTTTTCTAATATTATTTATTGTTCTTTAACCATCAATATCTAATATCTCTGATTGGACGAAAAATGACAATGGCGTTAAAATGATCGAAAAGTGTTTTTTTATAGATCCGTATTCATAGTCGAATCTTATATTTAATACGTTGAATGCCGCGCTAATTTCACGTGACTTTCCATTCACCTCATGAGTCACCGATAATCGACACTACCGCATTTGTTATGATATATTTCATAATATTTATAAGACTACAAAAATCATTATTGTAAAGAGGAAAAGGTAAAATACGTGCGCTATGTGGCCTGAGCTGAAAATCTAATGTGTGCTACTGATAGCCCACGCGGTACACAACGTGTTAAGACCATCTTAAGCTTAACTTCAGACGTTACACGGCTCATTTCACTAACTACAGAACATCTGAAAATGAACTTAAGACAATTTTAAGTATAATAAAGAAGATAGAGAGAAATGCTGAATATAATATGTAAACATTTAATATACGCTTCGTGATGCCATTACAAAAGCACAACATGTTTAAAACGTTCTTGTTTTAAGAAATACTCATTTGTTACGTCATCATTTTAATCAAAGTATTGATTTCTTATTACTATAGTAATTCTTACGCAGACCCAATAACCTCTATCAACTTTGTGACAAGCATCGCAACGATTGGCTGGAAAATGAACCCAAAAGAAAAACATCACTCGACGTAATGATATTTATTGTTCGAGAAACCGAGCACAATTCCATTTGTTGAATCAAACTATTAGTTTGTTCGCTCTACATCTCGATCTCGCGCGCAACAATCGATAGTTAATTTGGCCGCCGGGTGCACTCGGAAGGTGGAATTCGGCGTACTTCAGAAGCGTGACGCGGGGTCCGGGTGCCTCGTACAAGCTCGGCCGTTTTCGGCGGCGGTCGGTCTGGCGGCGCGCGCGGTGTTTGGCGCACCGTTCCTCAGTGCTCGCTGCGACTCGAACCGGGTGGGACGTTACCGTGTACATAGCCGTGTACGTTGACTGTGGCCGGCTAACGACGGACGGATCCTGCGTCGTGTGGTAAGTCCGGAGACTTATTTCACGAACCGCCTTCCAGGGGAACACGAGCGTTTCGCGCGGAGTAACGTAACGCGCGTTACGTGTCGCGAGGATACACACACACACATACCGATCGTCTTCGAAGCCGAGAGGTGCCGCACGCATTGCGCGCCGCATTGTGTCACGGGTGCGCATACGACGCACAAGAGAGTCATCCGGTTGGCGAAGGACAGAAGCGGATCGAAGGAGAGAGAGAGAGAAAGAGGGACAGAGAAGGAGTCGGAGGGCGTGCAGGAACGACGGAGAGACAGCGAGCGGGTTGCCTGCGGAGAAAGGAAAGGCGGAAAGGATCACATATTCGGGCAACATGGCCACTACGATCGACGACCGGCAGGAGCTGTTGGAGCAATTCCAAGCGGTGAGTGTGATCACTATTGTCCTTTCCCTTCGTTTCTCGCCGCGCGTGATCGCCGGTTTTTCCACCGGTTTTCCACGAGACCACGTCGGCCACGCGCGGTTCCTTATCGATCGCCGGTTTTATCAGCGTGCTCTCGTGGAAACCCACCCTCGTGGAACGCCGGGTGTCGCCGCCCTATCGCCGCCGCGCTGTCAGTTGGCGCGCCTCCCGCGCACCCTGCGACTCGGAGCTACGTTCAGGAACGTCCTACGAAATGTATACCTTGTCGCGCCGCCCGTCCCTCGTGAATTAAAGCTCGCTTGTAGAAGCAGTTCGAAGTTTCGTGAAAAAGGTCGTTATCGTCTCGCTTTCGGCTGTCGTTTTGGTGATGATAAAGTAATGATAATTACACTTGGTGACAAGATAGTCGGCCGCCTATCGTGAAATGTGCATACGACGAAATGAATGCGGGAGATCGATTCAGCGGCGCACGAATAATCAATAATAATTCGGTATATAATAATAATAATGTCCCGATTACAGACATTCTGTTGTCTGAGACGCGTCGTAAAATCGCGACGCGAAGGAACGATTAACACGCGATGCGAAAATTTCAAAATATCGAGGATATAATTTTTTCCCTAGAGCGGAAACGTGAAAAGTGGATGTGAAATGTTTTCACGTTAAAAAGATCCGTACTTTTCACGAATTCACGCTAGTGGAGAAGATTCATGGTCAACATCCAGAGGTCATCTTCTTTAGAGGTTTTCTTCTGTGAACTCTTGAAAGGTGTACATTTTCTAATTTGAAAATATATCACTTCTCACGTTTCCGTGAATCCGATATTTAGGGTGTCGATCACGTAACTTTTCCCCTAGGGCAGAAATATAAAAAGTGAAACATTTTCAAATTAGAAAATTTACACTTTATCCCGCTAGAAAATTTACGCTTATTCCCGCTGGAGAAGAATCATGATCAACACCCAGGAGGTCACGAATCTTTTTCTCCAGCCTGAATGTGTGAAAAGTGTAAATTTACTAGTTTGAAAACATTGGAAATTTTCACGTTTCCTAGGGGAAAGTGGCATGATCCAGTTCGAGGATCACGCTGGTGGACTGCTCCGAAATTCCTTGTTTCGATAAGCGCAAATTCGAAAGTCCAGAAGGAGAGATAAGGAATACCTCCTCTCGTTCTTTATCGACGTGTGTTTACGGTGTCGCTCTGTTGCGGTATGTGGGAACCGTTGGATGGGGAGCTGACGTCGCGTTCTGAACCGGTCGGCCGCGTAATCGCGACGCGGGAACACCGTGACCTGGTCACTCTTCGTTTCGGGCCGACGATACGCCCCACACGTGTTCGAGCGATGCACTCACTCACAGCAGCTCGCTTCGTCGTTTAAGCCGTGCCGCGCGTCGTGTTTACGTCGCATTCGCCATCGGCTGTTCTTCGCACGGTCTTTAGCTCGAGGAGAGACGCGCTCGAAAGTGAGACGATACTGCGCCGTTGCATATTCGCGTGGCATGGAACGCCTTGTTAAACGCGAAATCCTCTTCCACGCTCTGACCTCGTACGCGCGCAATTCTGGGCGATCAGTCACGCGAAATCCCACTTTGTGGATATTGCCTGGGGATTTCTTTTCTTTTTTGTTTGCTCGATCGCGAGACGACTTTCGGTTGAAGCGTCGTTAATGATCGTAGATTATTACTGATCTTATTGTAATCATTGTTATTAGGAATTGTTAAACATCCGTCTGACTTTATCGCGTTGATAAGCGTCATTGTTTTTTCTTCTCTCGTCGCTCGTCGATGGCGTTATCGAGTGTTTGCAGTTACTAATGGAACGCGGAGAACACAATGTTACCGTGTCATGAACGGCAACATATCGCCAAACTGTTGCTATTTGAAAATATCGCAATACACTGCCCGGTGTATTTAATTGAAGCGCGCCAAGAGAGGATGCGAGAGAGAAGTGATGAAACATCGATCAGACTTGCTTCGCTCGTATCGCTCGAGCCAAATACGAAGTCCAAACACGTGATACGTGTCCTCTCAATCAACACATTAAAATTTCATCTTTCACTTCACTTGTCGCTCTCTTGCGAATCAAAGGTCACACGATGACTTTTATCTCTTAACTTCCGCGCACGTGCATTTAAGAAAAAGTATTATTTATGATTGTAAATCTCCCTGCATACGGTGAAATAATTGTGATCAGAAAACCGTTTTTGCAACAAGAGCACTATTGTAGTTTATTAACGATAACAATCTCCTATGCGTATTGTTGCCACTATTCTTTTGTCGGAACATAAAAAAGTACGGTTGACGCCGAAAATGGCTGCAATTTCAGCGAGATTGACCATTTTTCTCTCTCACTATACGGAACGTTGCGTTTGCATTTGAAATAAACAGCAAAATGGGCGCATTGTCTACACGGAGAGAAAATAAAAAATAATTTTTCAATAGTACTAATAATTACATATTTATTTAAATTTAAGTTCTTACATTCAAATAGAGCAAACAATTGTTTTCAGGAAAACGGTCCTAAGAAAATATATATATTTTTAATAGACTTGAAGAAAAATTTTTTCAGTGAAAAATACATATATTAGCATAAGTAAATAGTAATTTAGCGCCCATCGAAAAATATTGTTTAATTTTTACTTTTTTTTTTCTTAATATATTCTTTTAAATGCTCTTTACTCTCGCTTCTACAATTATGCGACAATTGTTCACGCATTCGTCCTTTGAAGTCGCCAGATGCATCTTGCGAAGGCAACCGATTAATTCTCACCTCGTGCGGCGACAAATTAGACAGACCGCGGATCTGTTCGCGCGGGCTTTCAGGAGTGAGCCTCGTTACCGTGCGATTGCACTCTGCTCTTCGACGGGGAGGGCTTTTCACGGTTGATCGACTGCGAGCAGTGCACTGGCACGTTTCAGAGAACGTTTTTTCTCTCACGGCTCCAATCGTTGGAAAGGCGAACTGACTCCGCGATACAACGTATATATTAAGTCTTTGCGGTTCTCGGGACAGTATCGAGAAGCATGTTGCATCGAGTTGATACTTAATATCCCGCCATCTTACTTGAAGATTTAATCGTGTTGTAGTACGACGTGTTACAATCATTCCTTATCCTCCGCAACGTTTTGAAAAAGATTGAGAAATATAATAAGAATCATTAGAAGTAAAAATATAAAAATAATAGAAGAAATATTTATTAAAGAAATATTTATTAAAATATTTATTAAATATTTATTAAAAAATATATATTAAAGAATTGAATAAAAATATACACGTTATTAAACTAAAATTAATATTCTTCTATTTATCCGTATATAGTTGCACATTATATTTTTGCAAAATTTTTTTATATTTAGAATTTATAGATCCATTCTCAATGAGAATTTTATTTACGTAAAATTTGCGAATTTTTTTTTTTTTCAAATTATTCCCATTGGTAACACTTGGTACGAATATATGTTATTGTGTTGCTTACATTTGTTTTTCTAATTGTTGTCTTTATTGTAACGCTTTAAATTTTTGTTTACATAAATTGAGCGTATTTTAAGTCATCATCGATCGTAAGACTTACTTAGGCTTCGTTTTTCAATAATTAAATTAATCACGTTTGTCTTTTATTAGATTATAGTTTTATTAGATTATTGTAAGGAGAGGCGTACAAAATACTAAAATATCTTAAAAAAGGAATAAGTAAAGATGTATTTGAATAGAAAATGTATTTTTTTAAATTATCTAGTCTAATAATTTGCACACCTGTGTACGTGAATAATCGCAACGATACGGTCGAAATATCACAATTATTAATTAACGGCTCTTAATACGTGAGAATGAAGTGTATATCATAATTATTGGTATAATCAGTGAATCGAGAACAATTAATAATTTATAAATACGGTTAACCAGCTTCTAGAAAAACGACTATATTTTCTAAATAACCGTTCGCACGCGCGCGCGATGGGGTTTTACGGGTCGTCGCGTAACGGTGTCGCCGAATCTTGCACGAGCTTCTTTGCAACTTTTTTCTCCTTTTTTCGGACAGTTCGTTGCCGTAACTCCGTTACCGGTCTATCGGATTTCGCGTTAATCCCAAATGAACGAGCGAGCCTTCTGGCCGGACGTTTAACGGCGCGAGGATTTATCGAAATATCGACGCACTCCTATCCTTCTCCTTCGGTAGAACGTAGCTGTGAATGCAACGACCAGCCTGGTCGGTTTCTCAGCCGTAAGCGAGAAAGAAAGAGAGAGAGTAAGCAGCTCTTTGGCGAATTAAGCTTGAGAACCGCAAACGAGCGACGAACTGGCGACCTTCCTGTCGGGATCGTCGGCTTGATCTTACTTTGATGGAATTTTAATTCGCGCTTTCGCCATTAAACGAGATGCCGCACTAGCATGAAAGAAGATAACGCGCGATCTTAATTTCGAATAGATATCGGAGGTTAAATGCACCGGCCGATGGGAGAATCCACACGCGCGTTGCGCGCGCACCTTCGTATAAAAATTCTATACCGCGTACCTTTTTTTTTTTTCAGGCAACAGTCTCTCGCGTTACGATGAGCTGTGTTCTGCTAGAAAATAGGGCGCTGCTTTTTTTTCCGACGAGCCCGGAAATATTTTCACGGAATATTCTCCGCGTACGTCGCCCGCGGCGATCTCCCTTGCAAATCGGGGGGAACGCGGAGTTCGAGCAAAATAATTTCGCTGTTGCAGCAAAAACATCGTTGCCACTGCATATTCGTTGCGACGGCTATAAAATTCAATTAGCATAGCCAAATTAGCGAATTTCTCGTAATTAAAGCAGAAACAGTTTTGTTGCATGGATGGAAAAGATTCTGCCGAGTGAATTTGTCCTTAGGATGCGTTAATTTGCTGTTGGAACAAAATAGTGTCTTCCTATATGCTTGTTTCTACTAATTTGTTCCTATTAGCTTGTTCTTACAGCAAAATAATTTGTAGATTCGATAAAATAACCCAGCGAACGGCAATTCGCAACTTTTACACGG